TGAAGGGTCATAATAATCATATACATTGTATATTGACAAAATAAAAATTTAAAAAAAAAAAAAGAAACTTAGTGACAATATTGATCTAGAATTGGGGCTTTTTTGGGCATGTGTTATGGAAGATAAAAGACATAGGAAGGCCAAGAGGAAATGGAAAAAGAAAGCAATTCAAAAAGAAAGCAATTTAAAGTAATGGACTAATAATTTGGTAATGAGGGAAAATGAAGTGGTCAGGGACTGGAATCCTCAATGTGATTGAAAACTTGGAGTGGTTAGGATCTTCAGAGGCCCAAATAAATCCGTCTTCCTCTTCTGAGTTTGAACCCAGTTATGAAAACAAATGCAGGAACCAGGCAAGTGGAGATCAAAATGGCAGCTTTATAAATGTCAGCAGGAGTGAAGGACACAGCTTAGATATGTGGTCACAATCTGGATTCCTAGTACTCCAAATTGAATTCATCCACTTGAAACAGCCCTTTCAAGTCAGAGTCTACCACAATAAGCTTACTGCATGAAGCTGCAGTGAATGGGTGAGTCTTGAGGACAGCCACTGTCAGGGGGGGAGAAAGGAAGGGGCTAGGTTTATGCACTGGTCCTTCTGCACGTGGGGAGGAGTAAGCAGTGGCATGAGAGAAGCCAGAATTGTTACTGTTTTGTAATTCACCCCATGGAAATTAGAGGAAAGGGAGTAGTTTACCCTAAGAATTATGTCAAGCAGAAAAGAATCAACCTGAGCAATATGGAATGTGATTAGAGAGTAGAATGTCAGGGTTTTAAATTTTCAAGTTGGAAGAGTTCTGGGTAACAGTAAGGGCCAGGATGTGGCCATAGAAATGGTGGCTGTGGTGCATTAGAGGTGATGTCAAAGGCTGAGAGGCTAAGGTATTTTAATTATTCCTGTGGACACTGATTGATCCAGGATGACAGTGGACTTGAGGTGCCAGGCAGTAAAAGACACAAGAGTTTGTCTAGAGTATGAGAATGATGGGCTTTGAAACAAAAATGAGAAGCCTAGGGCTAGATTGGGAGGTGAGGCTACACCATTCTGGCCTCTGAAATATGATTCCAGAAGTGAAGTAAGTATTTGATACAATTGATCAATTTCATTTTTCTGTCACCATCTGTAAACCAAAGATAAATTTATTATGGTCATGCATAGTTACTTTTTCTTAGACAAGTGTAGGCAGTGGTGGTTAGTACACTCTGATCACCTCTGCTCTGTGTTAGGGAGAGCAATGGAGGCGGCAGTCTCCAAGTTCATGGTTTTCAAGATAGAGCTTTAATGGGCAAGGGAAGCTTGAAGATTCCATGCTTCAAATTAGCAAGAATTCCGTCCAGTGACAGATAAAAGATAGAGCTTTAATGGGCAAGGGAAGCTTGAAGATTCCATGCTTCAAATTAGCAAGAATTTCGTCCAGTGACAGATAATTAGTTAGTTTTCTAGCAGATGTAGGTACTATACTAACCTTTGCAGAGAGAAACTCCCAGAGTTTGGAATGTGTGTGTATGACAAAAGTTTTTCTTTCCACATTAACAGGAGTGGCCCCAGACTCATCAAGCCTTGATTTCATACACGGGACCTACAGAGAAACCTCCCAGTGAACCAGATGAAACCCCTCCCCGGCCTTCTTTGTACAGGAGAATACTGCGAAGGCTTGCATCATACTGGGCACAACCGCAGGACGGTGAGCAACGTGGGGGCTGAAGATTAAGAAAACCCTAAAACAGACCACCAAAGCAGTTTTAGAGGCTAACTGGAGCAGGAGAAGTCTTCCAAAGGTCATTGAATCCAGCCTTCTGTGTGAATTCACCAGAGCAGGGCCAAAACGATGTCCCTTGAATGGGTGCAGCAGTCTCTGTGCACTTTGTTTTTGTCACTGGTGTTTATGTTATTTGGCTGCTTTTGGTAGGGATGTTGCAGGCACAATAGAGATTCCATCTTGAGCCTGGCTCTTTACCCATGTGTATAAATAGTATGAAATAAATAAAACTAAGGTGCATAGTCAGCAGAAGGGTTTGGGAAGCTGAGCTGAGCAGCTGGCAGTTCGTCAGTGGTGATGGAGTTGTGAAACGTTAATGGAAGAAGTTGACCTGTATCTGATGGGTTCCCACAGCCCCCTCCCAAAAGTTGAGCCCAGAGGTCTGGAAAGACGTACAGCTGTCCACCATTGAACTGTCCATCACAACACGGAACAGTCAGCTTGACCTGATGGTAAGTGTGCTTTTTTATTAGAAAAGCATTGATATGTGGGAAGAGTGACAAAGACTACATGCTCTTCCACCAATTCAGTATTTTTATTTCTACCCTGTGGGGATACAGAGGAAAGGATCAGGAAAAAGAGGATGTGGTGCACCTTTAAGGATAATAGCAATGAAGCAGTAGCTGAGTGCAGTAGTGGCGTGAAAGCTTAAGGGGCTTTGATCAAGTGTTCTGGTCATTGCTTATCGGGCCTTTAGTGAACTTAGGGCAAAAACCTTTAGAAATGAAAGTTAGCTACTCCCATTTGTTGCTGGAATAAAAATTGTGGAATTTTTGTGTGAGTAAATATCCATTATTTTTGTGACTATATTATGCAGATTTAGATCCTAAGGAGAAAAATACACACACACACATCTATATCTATATCTATATGTGATTTTTTTTGAGTTCACTCTTTAGACATGCACTGTACAGTATGGTAGACATTAGCCACAAGTGGCTATTTAAATTTAAATTAATTAGAATTAAAACTTTAAAACTCAGTTTCTCTGTCTCACTGGCTACATTTCAAGTGCTCAATAGCCATATGTGGGTAATAGCTACCTTATTGGAAAGCACAGATATAGAACCTTTTCATCAGTGCTGAAAGTTCTGTTGGATAGTCCTGCTATAGACAGTACGCTAAAAAAAAGTTGAAATAAAGCAGGGGTTAGCAAACTGGCCTGCCACCTGTTTTTGTATAGCCCATAAGCTAAGAATTGATTTTCTAATTTTAAATGGTGGAAAGAAAATCAAAGAATAATAATTTGTGGCACATGAAAAGAATATGAAATTCAAGTTTCAGTATCCATAAAGAAAGTTTTATTGGAACAAGCCATATTCATTTATATACATATTTTCTTTGGCTGTTTTTATGCTACAGTGGTAGAGATGAGTAGTTGCAGCAGAGACTATATGGTCCAAAAGCCTAAAATGTTTACTGTCTGGCCATTTATTGAAACAGTTTACTGACCTTGGTATAGAGAAAACTTTAGTAATTTATATTAATGAGAATGCCAGTAGAAAAGTCATTCTTAACTGTGGACTAATTACTATATTCATCCTTTATGCAAATCAAAGTAGTCTGTTCACAGTTGTCTTGGCCAATCTGAAAATAGGCAGATGGAATTGGAATGTAGTGAGAAGTTTGATTCCAATATTAATATTCAGAGTATTGAATTGTTTTGTAATTATAAAAGTAATACATGTCCATTGCAAAACATTTGCAGAACAGCTCCTTCAAATCCTAAAAAATTCTATTTGGATTAAAGAACTAAATGTAAAAAAATAAAACCATTAAATTTCCAAAGCAAAATCTGAGTAATTATCAGTACAAGTTGAGCATACCAAATTCAAAAATCCAAAATCTGAAATGCTACAGGATGTGAAACTTTTTGAGCTTTGACTTGATGTTCAAAGGAAATTTTAAATGGTGAAATTTCAAAATTTAAAATTTTGAATTTTCAGATTAGGGATGCTGAACTGGTAAGTATAATGCAAATATTCCAAAATTTGAAAAAAATCCAAAATCCAAACACTTCTGGTCCCAAGCATTTTGGATAAGGGATATTTAACCTGTGTAAACTTGGGGAGGACAAGGCCTTTCCAAGCATGACACCTAAGGCAAAAAATCATATTAATGCATTTGTCTTCTTATTAACAAAGACAATATCAGCAAACTTTTTAGTGAAATATTAGGATGTACTAGATAAGGAGTTAATAGCTTTCCTTCTAACGAAGTCTTAAGATAAATCAATAAGAAATGGCCAAAGGACTGATACAAGATGGGCAAAAGGTAAGGATAAAAAGTTCACGAAAAATAGTATTTACGGGCCGGCCCGGTGGCGCACTGCTACAGTGCGCCGCCTGGGAGCACGGCGGCGCTCCTGCCGAGGGTTCGGATCCCACGTACAGACCGGCCGCTCATTGGCTGAGCAAGGGGCGGGCGCAACACCGAGGGTTGCGATCCGTTGCCGGTCACAAAAAAAAAAAAAAAAAAATAG